GCTAAGCAGATGTTGCTTCTTCGATGCATGTAGTCAAAGAGAGAGAGATGGCTGTCTTGCACTGTGCTTTTGTCTTTACCTGCACAGGTGAGGCCATGCCCACCTCTAGTCGCATGCAGAGGAAGTCTGTCCCAGCCCAGAAGGAAACAGGAAGTTTACCTGCTGGCTGGACAAACCTTCCTCCCCATGTGTAAACATGTTCACTCTAGGAATGTTGGACTTGACTGCTCTTGTGTTTCACATCCCACATATATATCCTCTCCTACTATCCTCAACATTCCCACAGCACTGAGCTATGGTCCTCCTGCTAGACCATCAAGACCCTAGATGGACTAAGGGTCTGACTTACTTTGAGGCAGCTTGTTACGTTCCCTAAGAGCTCTGCCCCACTTGCCTTCCATTATGCTGTGCCTGCCTCTGTCTTTCATTCCCCACAGCCCCAAACCCCAAACCCAGTGGGAGGCATGTACCTAGGCACTGGCCAGGTTGACCCTTGCAAACAGCGCAGGCCAGATGGGGGTGGGGAAAGCCAGGACACGTGTTCCAAACTCGACAGCGACACTCTCTTCCTAGGGATCTTATTGGCATGTCCATGGAGAGTGTGTGAGTTTTCAATCTTTCCACACGTCAAGAACATCGTCAAAGCAGCTCTGGGTGTTGAAAGCAACTGCAACTGAGATTGCTGCTGTTTCTCACTGAGCGTCTGTGAGCTCACAGCCCTCACCTCTTTTGTTTGATTTAGAATCCAGCGAGCATTTTCATCCACCGTAGCTGCAAGGGACTAGTTGTCAGTGCCCCGTTTGTGTGTGATGGGAATGAGAGCTGACAATATGCTTGTGGAAAGGAAAAGAGGGGCGGAGATTCCCATCACCTCTGTTTTCCTCCCTGCTGCGAATTAAGTGGGGCTGTAAACACTCCTGTGCAAAATTAAGTCATCCCTTTTAATGGCATTCTTAAAGTTAGAAATCCTTCCCAGCTGAAGGCTCCATAATCACATGCCACAAATGGTAGATTATTTCTTTCTGCTAAAATAGTAGATCCTTTGCTTTCAACTCTTCACTTTGATCGTATTTAAAACCCAGGCACCAAGGAGTCTCGATTACAGTCTTGGGCTTATCCTGGCATCGAACCATTGTAGTTTGGCACCCAATATATTAAAATTTGGAAACAAATTTGGAAATTCTCCTAGTCAACCTGGGATTAAGGTGGTATTTGGTTCAGGGCAGAATGAAATAAAAAAACAACAACAATTAACCATTTATGGAACATTCATCTTAAGGGGCTGTAAAATCATGTACCCGGCTGAAGAAGATAGAAGGACTCATGAGCTGGTCTGAGTGACATTCATGAGACTCCCCATACTCCAATAAAGCTTGGAATAACACCAGCCCCTAAACCAATGGAAAACTGTTTCTGCAGATATTTTATCCCATGACCTGCCATTTACCAATACAGAACCAAGTTTAGTTGGGAGCAAGGGTGGGATTGAAGGAAACAATCAATAATCAGGAAAAGGTTTATGAGATGTTGAGGAACAGAAATACCATACTTTTCCGTGTATTAGACGATGTTTTTTTTAAAATATAAAAGAATGTAAAAAATTGGGTGTGTCTTATACATGGATAGTTCAGAGAGGGGAATGGCGATTGGTTGCAGCAGCGAGCTGGAGGTTTTCAACGGTGATTAGCTTCTGCTGCGGCAATTGTGTGGGCCATTGGTGGCTGCTGGTAGTGAGCAGGCAGACGATTGGTGGCTTCAGTGACGCATGCTATTTGCAATCCTTCCCCCAAAAAGCTCAACAACTCTGGGCAACCCCTCCCCCCAAAATCTTAACAACTCTTGGGAATCTCCCCCCATTTTCTAAATTTCGAGTCCCCCAAAATAGGGGTTGTCTTATACGTGTGTGTGTGTGTGTGTTATACATGGAAGAATACGGTATGTGGTAGTCTCTTTTCTGGACTCCATATTGGCCTCCTATTTTTTTCCCTAAACAAGTAGTTTTCCCCTGATGTCTTTTTGTGCTGTAGTGTCTCCCTTCTGTGGAGCACACACACACGGAGAGAAGAAAATGTTCTGTTAGATTCCATTCTTGCTGTTTGCAACGATTTTACATGGAGTTGTTTTACTATGCTGAATTTTCCACATACTTTTTTCCCCTCTCTGATTATTTTGTTCCTGAGTGAGCTTCAAACTTCACTATTCTATTTGTAATATTTTTTTCTTTCATTTTTACCTGAACTAATTTTTTGTTGTCTTTGTCCAGGGCAGGGATACTGGAGTGGCTTGCCGGTTCCTCCTCCAGGTGGATCACGTTTGGTCAAAACTCTCCACTATGACGTGTTCATCTTGGGTGCCCTGCTCGGCATAGTTCATAGCTTCTCTGAGTTATTCAAGCCCCTTCGCCACGGCAAGGCAGTGATCCATGAATAGCGATGTATGGAAGTGAAAGCTGGACCATAAAGAAGGCTGATTGCCGAAGAATTGATGCTTTTGAATTATGGTGCTGGAGGAGACTCTTGAGAGTCCCATGGACTGCAAGAAGATCAAACCTCTCCATTCTGAAGGAAATCAGCCCTGAGTGCTCACTGGAAGGACAGATCCTGAAGCTGAGGCTCCAATACTTTGGCCACCTCATGAGAAGAGAAACCTCCCTGGAAAAGGCCCTGATGTTGGGAAAGATGGAGGGCACAAGGAGAAGGGGACGACAGAGGATGAGATGGTTGGATAGTGTTCTCGAAGCTACCAGTATGAGTCTGACCAAACAGCGGGAGGCAGTGGAAGACAGAAGTGCCTGGCGTGCTCTAGTCCATGGGGTCACGAAGAGTCGGACACGACTAAACAACTAAGCAACAACAAATTTTTTGTTTGGAGTTTCCTGGAAACCACATCTGGGACACCAGATTGATATCTAGCAACCTGCACCTGACACCACAACAGTCTGTTTCCTGGGATTTCCTTCTAGATTGGCAGTGATGTTCTCACCTTGAACTAAAAAGTCAGGGAATTAGGACTGCTGTAGGAAGCTTTAATTAGAGGGCTGGTGGAATTTAGGTGGGTCAATGCAGGATTCAGCAACGATTAGGAAAAGGTAAAGGAACCCCTGACCATTAGGTCCAGTCACGGACAACTCTGGGGTTGCGGCGCTCATCTCGCTTTACTGGCTGAGGGAGCCGGCATACAGCTTCCGGGTCATGTGGCCAGCATGACTAAGCTGCTTCTGGCGAACCAGAGCAGCACACGGAAACGTTTACCTTCCTGCCAGAGCGGTACCTATTTATCTACTTGCACTTTGACGTGCTTTTGAACTGCTAGGTTGACAGCAGCTGGGACCAAGCAATGGGAGCTCACCCCGTCGCGGGGATTCGAACCGCCGACTCAGCAACGATTAAGTTGTAGTTATTTTTAATCTTGAATAGCAGCAGAGCCGTGATGAGTGCCAGAGTGTCAGGAGAGATGGATGCTGCAGACCAGCAATGTCTGAAGAGCACTACACTGGCTACTGGGACATGGGTGGCGCTGTGGTCTAAACCACTGAGGCTCTTGGGCTTGCCGATCAGAAGGTCAGTGGTTCAAATCCCCATGATGGGCTGAGCTCCCATTGCTCTGTCCCAGCTCTTGCCAACCTAGCAGTTCGAAAGCATACCAGCACATGTGGATAAATAGGTACGGCTGCGGCTGGAAGGTAAATGGTGTTTCTGTGCACTCTGGCACTCGTCACGGTCCTCCGTGCACCAGTAGTGGTTTAGTCATGCTGGCCACATGACCCGGAAAACTGTCTGTGGACAAATGCCAGCTCCCTCAGCCTGAATGCGAGATGAGCATCGCAACCCATAGTCGCCTTTGACTGGACTTAACCATCCAGGGGTCCTTTACCTTTTACTTTTTTTTTTACACTGGCTACTCTTGCCATAGACACAAGTCTTCTTCAGTCTTCATATTCAGGGCTATGAGTCCTGGGCCATAATAATGAGCAATGCATCACCCAATTCCCTTGGCCTCTGCCATTTTAAGAAACTAAAACACTTTTCATCCTTAAAATTAGTTTTCAAAAGAAATTCTTTGGCGCTCCAGGAGCCCTTCACGTGGCCCGATCCAGACATGCTTTGGACCTGGCAGCGAGGGGGAATTATTTTGATGGTTAACCACCAAAGAAGGTTTTCTGCATTCATGTGTTCCTAAGGGGCATTCCAGAGTGCACTGCGGCACCCCCTGCACCCGAAGCAAAGTCCCTCGATTCTTGGAACGTGCGTCATATGGCAGATTTGCATTTTGGAGCTGAGGGTAGGTGTGTTGGCAAAAGAGACGCGGGAGAGAAGCCAGAATATCTGCAGGCTCTTCCATCTGCGAACAAACAATTGAAATTGCCAGACAAACGGGATTAAGCTGGACCATACATGAATTCCCTGCGTGATCAGCGTCTAGGAGAAATTTCATCCTCCTACTTTGGATTTGTAGGGGTGGCCAAGCTTTGTGCTCTCAGACCCTGGTAGACTCTTCTATTTTTTGTCTTCTCTGCAAGCTCCTTGATGCCCAGGATCTGTCACTTCCTACTTTATTTCCTAAAACGGTAAAGGTAAAGGACCCCTTACAGTTAAGTCCAGTCAAGAATGACTCTGGGGTTGCAGCGCCCATTTTGCTTTACAGGCTGAAGGAGCCGGCGTTTGTCTGCAGACAGTTTTTCAGGGTCATGTGGCCAGCATGACTAAGCCGCTTCTGGCGAAACCAGAGCAGCGCACGGAAGCGCCGTTTACCTTCCTGCCAGAGCGGTACCTATTTATCTACTTGCACTTTGGCGTGCTTTTGAACTGCTAGGTTGGCAGCAGCTGGGACCGAGCAAATGGGAGCTCACCCTGTTGCGGGGATTCGAACCGCCAACCTTTCGATAGGCAAGCCCAAGAGGCTGAGTGATTTAGACCACTGCGCCACCCACATGCCTACTTTATTTCATATAATCATAGAATTGTTTGCAGGAAGGGACCCTGCAGTGCAGGATATGCAGCTATTCCATACAGGGATCAAACCTGTGGCCTTGGTATTATCAGCACCATGCTGTAACCAACTCAACTCTTCATTCATTCATTCATTCATTCATTCATTCATTCATTCCCCACTTTTTCCCCTGACAGGGACTTAGGGTGGCTGACAGATAAAATAAGAATAGCCCTCCATCTTGAGAACTGTTTAATCATTCCTGCTCTCTTGTTGCTGTTCTTGAATGAATTAGCAGCCTGTAAGAGGAATTGTTCTCTTTTCCTTTGACTCTTAGGGAACCTTTGATGAGGAATGAGATTGGGACCTTTTTGAAAGTACACAATTTCTGCTGGGCTAATAACACTCTTAAAGAACTCCAAATGATCAGTGAGACAAGATTTACCTTTGGAAAAGCTGTATTCTCTAGGGGTTGTTCACAGCTTACATTCAACAAGCATACAATTTGTAAGGCATGTTACGGGAGGCGTGGTAAAGGTAAAAGGTAAAGGACCTTTGGACAGTTAAGTCCAGTCAAAAGCGACTATGGGGTTGCGGCGCTCATCTTGCTTTCAGGCCGAGGGAGCTGATGTTGGCCACAGACAGCTTTCTGGGTCATGTGGCCAGCATGACTTAAACTGCTTCTGGTGCAATGGAACACCGTGACGGAAGCCAGAGCACGTGGAAATACTGTTTACCTTCCCACTGCAACGGTAACTATTTATCTACTTGCACTGGCATGCTTTCTAACTGCTAGGTTGGCAGGAGCTGGGACAGAGCAACGGGAGCTCACCCCGTGCTGGGGATTTGAACCTCTGACCTTCTGATTGATAAGCCCAAAAGGCTCAGTGGTTTAGACAACAGTGCCACCTGCGTCCCATGATGGAGGGGTAGTACCTCTGGTAGGGGACATGTCATGCTCCTTCTGGGGTAGTTTGTCCACCTTTGGTACACACCCTGCACTCAGCTCTCACCTGTGACTCCTAGAAGCTGTGAGCATGCGGCAGTGGCCACACCCCAGGAAAGACTTCGACTGGCCAGCTAAAGGAACTGAGAGGAGCTGATGGGTCTCAAATCCTCAAGTTAGGGACTTCCCCTTCATGTGAAGACTGGCTCCTGTAGTGGAGGAGATCTATAGTAGGTTCAATGATCAAGAAGGCAGTTTCTGCACGTGCTGCAGAGGGAAGTGAGGGGCAGAACTTGTCTATTTATAGAGGCAGCTTGTGCCTGCGCTCAGTGTAATGTGTGAACAAGACTTCTGCCCACCTTCAAGTTTCCTTCTGTGCATTCCTGCATCTTGCACCCTTCCATATTTCCTTCTTTAGGTTTAGGAATGGGCCTGCCTACTGCATTCCCAAATCTACTTGCTGATTTTCTCCTTCAACTATTAATACAAAGAAAATGCGCAATTAGATTCTTTCTAATGGATGTTTGGAATAAGTTATCTGAAAGCTTCAGGAGTGGTAAACAAATATGAAAAATGGAAAGTTAAACTCAGACTGGGGTGATAAAAACGGCAATTAACAGTTTCCCGCTATTCCTCTCTGTGCACGGTTGGTGGACACAGTCATCATTTTTTGAACACAATGGCCATCTCCCTGCAATTGTGGAAATGCAAAATATTAACCCCAAATCGCCTGTCAATTAAATAGCGAGCAGATCTAGCTTTTGCATAACTTTAGAAGTTCTCCTTCTTTCACTGAGTTGCAGCTTTCAACAACCTGCCATCTCCACCCGCCCTCCTTATTTCACAGGATCGAAATGTTCACACACTTCAATCATGTTGTTAAAACACTGAATTTTACAATCTTGTCATTGGATCCAGTTCGTCTCCTTTCCTGCTTCCCTCTCTCCCTCTTTGGGTTTGCAAAGCCTTTCGAATGCCGGCAGTTTACTGTTGCTCGTCTGTTCAAAGATAAAAAGGAGTCCATTAATCTTTCAGGGAGATATGTTCAAAGCAGGGACATTTTTTTTTGGTGGTGGAATGATCTGTCAATAACATTTTTCTCTTACGCAATGCAGAAAACATCTGTTTTACATCAGAACATGTAATTTCGGCACTTACATAAGGCTGCGGTTGAAGAGTCGAGTGTTTTAGCTGCTTCTATAGTTAGAACATAACAAAGGGCCTGGCGTGGCGGTGGAGGAGGCTGAATTATGGCTTAATAAAAACCCATTAGCAGTGAAGAGGGCGACTAAATAGTTCAGACGGAAAGTCAGATTAGCCCAGAACCATTCCTTTCTGGAATGGCTTTTGGAGCCGTAAAACATGGACCTCAAACATGTGTTGTAGTTGAGCAAATGAAGTCAGGAAGAGAGAGTCTGCATTAGTCAATTGAGCCATAGCTCAGTGGTAGAGTATCTGCCTTGTCTGCGGAAGGTTCTGTGTTCAATTCCTGGCATCCCAAGGCAGGGCTGGTGTCAGGCTTCAGGGACTCAGCTTCTTCCCCCCCTTTGGCAGTAGATAAGCAGAACGAAAAGGAAGGAGTCTCCTACCAGTTAGAGATTTCAATGATCACAGCAAGAGAACAAAGCATCTATTCCTCAGAATGAAGGCGCTCCCAATTAAGGGTTCCACCCACTTCGCCCCTAGTCACCCATGTCACTTCTGTGTCTTGCAACCTGATCTTGCCACCACTTTGATTTCTGTGCTGCCACCTTATCTGCCCTCCTTGACCTTGAGCTGATGGGTGACGCTTTCCAGCAACATTGAGTCTGTTAGCTCTCTCTCTTCCAGTTCTTCTCCTCTTAACTGTTCACCCCCCAGTTCTTCCCAACTTCAGTCTTCTGAACTATGTCTCTCTGCAAATCATTGTTCCAAATCTATACTGTCCCACTGCTCCTGGGAAGATTCAGGATCCTGATTAGGAGCAGGGGAAGGGGGATTCTCCTACCATTCCTCCTCAGAGCCACCCTTCTCCGCAAGGTCCCTGACAGCTGGAAGGAATCCTGGAGAGCCACTGCCAGTCAGTGTGGATGATCCTGAGATAGATGGACCAATGGTCTGGTTCGGTATAAGGCGGCTTTCTAAGCTACGCATAGCTCCACCTGTTTTGAAAATCTAGTACACAATACCCTAATACAAAAGCATCACAAACCCTCCCGGCAGGTCTGCATTATTGAAACTGTTCTGACTCGGGCTAGTCTCCTGGTTGAAGTTATATTAAGCACTTTTCAGAACGCAGGTATTAATAATGCATATCTTATTAATAACACTCCGGCATAGGTTTGACTCCGAGCGCCCAGGAACGATATTTGTCTAATCCACTGGCACTGCAGTTTTCATACAAGAATGACATTAACACAGCAGATTCCAGAGGCGTAGCTGTGTTTGCTGCTCTCTCGCTCTCTCTTTCTCTCTCCGTCAGAATCTCCTGGCACCTCAAAGACTAATAGATTTATTGCGCCTTTTGTAGATTAGAGCCCGTTTCATTAGACGCGCAGAATATCATATTCAGTTTGACAATGCATTTCCCTGCGTGGGCACAGCGCACAAACAGGTACAGCAAGACAGAGAGAAAGACGAATGGGGAGTAGGGAGAGAGATTGTAAACTGTGGTGCCAAAATGCAGGAATTATAGTCTGTGACCAGGCGTATGCAAGAGAAGCATGTTGCTTGTTCAAAACAACAGTCACTGACGATGATCTAATCTAGGCATGATGGCTATGATCCACCTTCACTGTTGGAGACAGGGTGCCCCTGAAAGCCAGTTTCTGGGAATCTGTAATTCAGAGAGCGTTGTTGTGCTCAGGTATGGCTTTTGGGCTTCCCAGGGGTATCTGGTTGGCCACTGTGAAAGCAGGATGCTGGACTAGACGGGCCATTGGCCCTGATCCAACAGGGCTCGTGTTCTTCCTGGTTTAGCTCATCTGATTTGAAAGCCAACAACGGCAATGAAATCCTTTCATTTCAGCTCATGGACAGAATCAAGATGATTGACAATCTCCGGTTCATCAGTTTGACACCGGAATCTCATTTTCTTCCCTTTTCAAGGAATTGTGACTTTCCGAACACCAGCAGGTCATGGAAGGTTGCCACGTTCTCCTTATAATTACTCATTTTACAGAGGAAAAACTAGTGGTGCACAGAACATCCCCGAACAAGAGGCAAAAATTTAAATACAGGCATAAAAACCACGAGACTCCTCCCCACACTTTTCATTCTCAGAAACCCACTGCATCCTGTCTCCTCCATGTCTATAAGACTTTTGATAGGCAGTTGTTAAATTTACCAATTTTGACTACTAATGAAATAGTAAGGGGTGTCTAGCAGTTAGAAAACTGAGCAATTTTGAGTGGATTACTCAGTTCCCTTTTTACCCAGGAAATCCATTGTCAATACTTTGTTGTTGTTGTTTAGTCGTTTAGTCGTGTCCAACTCTTCGTGACCCCCTGGACCAGAGCATGTCAGGCACTCCTGTCTTCCACTGCCTCCCGCAGTGTGGTCAGACTCATGTTTGTAGCTTAGCTGGAGCTAAGTATTCTACACTATTCCTTGTTCTTCTACCATATCTCGCCAAGCCCAGAAACCACTTAGACTTGTGCTTTGGTGGGTCTCCATGGAAAGTCAATTCTAGCTGTGAGAGGACCACCAAGAACATCTGTGTTGATGCCTTACATTACTCAGAAGAAAGAAGAAGAAGAAGAGGGGGAGGAGTTTGGGTTTGATATCCCACTTTATCACTACCCCAAGGAGTCTCAAAGCGGCTAACAAACTCCTTTCCCTTCCTTCCCCACAACAAACACTCTGTGAGGTGAGTGAGGCTGAGAGACTTCAGAGAAGTGTGACTAGCCCAAGGTCACCCAGCAGCTGCATGTGGAGGAGCGGAGACGCGAACCCGGTTCACCAGATTACGAGTCTACAGCTCTTAACAACCACACCACAATGGCTCTCTACTTCTCACTGACTTTCATAGGAAATCCCTTTGCCCACACTTTGACTGTTCCCAGGTTCAGCCAAATACATACCTCAAGTGACAACTAGCGCAGGTCATTTGAGATCCAAATCCCACAGAAGGAATATTCTGGCAGATTCGTCTATGCATATGTGATTATTTGCAGCCATCAGTACACATGCAACCATGAATCAGGCTTCAGTCTTTATCTGTGCTATCATTTTTAAAGTTCAGGAGTTAGCTGGGTTTTCTTTTTTTCTTTATTTACATCTATATTTATTTATGACATCGAAAAGCATAATAACAAATGCCAAATAAAATAAAAGTAGAAAGAGACAGCGAGAAACTGAACATCGTAAATTAATGTCATAAACTTCCAAATTACACAAATGTGTTTAGATTATCCTGTACTTTATTACTACAGTACATTATAAAGATATAAATACCGTATTTTTCGCCCTATAGGACGCACCGGCCCATAGGACGCACCTAGTTTTTTGGGGGGGAAATCAAGGAAAAAATTTTTATTCCCCCCCCCCAGGTTTGCGCAGCCACCCCCCAGCTCCGTCTCCCTCTTCTGCCTTCAGGGACAGCCTCTCTAGCCTCCGTGGGGCAGCGGCTTGCCCCGCTGTCCCCCGAGCTTATGGGGCTGGTGATGGGGAGAAGCAAGCTTGCTTCTCCCCCCCGCCAGCCTCCAGATCAGGTCCAGGAATAGCGGGGTGGCGGCGCTCCGCCTCCCTGCTATCCCCCGAGCTTGTGGGCTGCAGGCTGCTGCCCGCAAGCCTTGCGAGCCCGCGGGACCTCCCGCCGGGCTTGCAAGGCTTGCGGATAGCTTCCTGAAGCCTGGAGAGCGAGAGGGGTCAGTGCGCACCGACCCCTCGCGCTCTCCAGGCTTCAGTGAAAGCCTGCATTTGCCCCATAGGACGCACACACATTTCCCCTTCATTTTTGGAGGGGAAAAAGTGCGTCCTATAGGGCGAAAAATACGGTAAATATGTTGTCTTCCTTCACTGGTTCTCACCATAAGTGTAAGGTTAAGCATGCTGTGTCCCAGATTTTAATTATCCAATCTTTCAAGGATGGTGTTCTTTCTATCCTCCCCAATTCTGACAAATAATAATTCTGGAAGCAGTTATGAGATGTTGCATTAATTCCCTGTCCTCTGTTAGTCTCCTTAACATATTCAAACAGGAGAATTGGGGGGGCCAATGGTTAAAGTCAGTGCTTTTTTCCTTTAAAAATGTTTAGGGGTACTCTCATTTTGACTCAAGAAAATCACCATTTTATAGTTCAAATTGGGGAAAAGAAATACAGTAAATGGACAAAAGTACAAAGATTCACAAGATGTTTAGGGGTATACCCCTGCGTCCCCCCAGAAAAAAAACACTGGTTAAAGTATAAGCAGTTATTACTTCAATTTCCATTGCTGTATCTTCCCAGAATTTTTTGACCTTAGGACATGCCCAAGATATATCCCAGCATTTGCAAGGAGTAAGATGATGTTTGTGGGTGCAGCAGAGGGGGCTTCTGAAGCACAAAAATTATATAAACTGGAAATGGAAACAGCGATCAGTGTTGTCCCATCTACTGGAAGAAGTTACACCAATTCGCAGCACTGCTGAAGATCCGGAATGAACTCATTTCAATCACAGCCAGAGAGCATTTTTGAATTGCGGAACAGGGCGGGGTTAGACAAGGCACCCCATCACAGATCAAGATTTGTTTCCTGCGTGTCAGAAATAAACAAGAACACATCCCACCAAGGTCCAATATATTTTTGTCACTTTTTCTGACAGGCAATTTTCTCCTGGGCCTTTGCTTACCTCGAGGGGAATAAAGAACCTTATTTTGTTTTCAGAGGGCTGTTGTGGTGAAACACAAGGGTCCTCTGGCTTTCAAGGCCCAAAGGACTTGAACTCTCAGGTTTGGCTTAAGCAACAAAGAGCAGAAGTGAAATGCAATAAGTTTGGGCAACTGTAAGGCCTGTCAGGCACCTTATTCTGGGATCACGTCAGCATACAAAGTTGGTTCACAGCAGAGCTTGAATTCCAGGTGTATTTGTGTGCACAAAGGCCATTCCTCAAACTCTTTGGGATGCCTCCTCCCTCAAGCTGCTGTTTTAGAAAGACGTAGAAGGCACAATCTAGCTTGCTTATCTGAATTCAAGGAGTCTCCAGTCTCCACCATATCTGTCTTTGCCTTCATGTTTGCTTGATGAGGGCAGACTGGTCAGAAGATACCAGGTTGGCACAAGCTGATGGGTAGCAGTAGTCCATGGAAGTGCAGGTCAATTCTGTGTCCAGGGCAGCTGTCTACCAGCTCCATCTGGTATGCAGGCTGAGACCCTACCTGCCCGCGGACTGTTTTGCCAGAGTGGTGCATGTTCTAGTTATCTCCCGCTTGGACTACTGCAACGTGCTCTATGTGGGGCTACCTTTGAAGGGAGAGGAGACCTGTCTCCTATACTTTTTGTGAAGGTTCACTTACTACTGTTAGCTAAAATGATATGGCAACCAA